CAAGGGCTGTTATCTTATGGGTTCACATTTCCACAAGGGCTACCACCAAGTAAAGGTGTCTTGGAAAGGAAACTTGAACAAGTTGAAGGGGGAGATAATTCTGAGAACAAGAGAGAAACACTGAAGGCAGAGATCGAGAAAGCATTTCACCCCGGTCAAGCGGACCTAGCTTGTGTGGTTGAACTCAGAGCTGAACCAATCGAGTGGCTGATACTCGAGGGACAGGATTTCTCCAAGGATCGGCGGCCAGATAAAGAAAGCAGATTGAAGAGATTATCGACCAAGATATTCATCGAAGCTACCATAGAGTAGTCTAGATGGATTGTAGCTTAATGTATTGCGGTTTTCACAATCGGATATCTAGAAGGCAAAAGCTATATCCACCAAACCTACATACGAAGATGAAAAAATGAACATCTGTTTACTTGTAGTACCCTTTCCTTTCTTCTTTTTAAGCAACATTTCGCTAAAACGATTGATGCGACATCGGGTAGGTAAAGTCGAGCACAGCATAATGGGTCTCAGTCACGTCAGTCCCCCCGACCAACCAAAAGTCTCCATATTACCACCACTAGCATTGATACTGGTATATAACTGCTGCGCTAGGTCTCACCAACGCTGATCAGGGTAGATAAGGCCCGTTGACGCAATATGTAGGTAGAATGACCATTGTAGCACTACATGTAAAATTGGTGGCATTGCATATAGTGCAGACCCGTTTACTTCCTACATAGGCTAACATGGCGGCTTGCGTGCGATGATATTCCTTGATAGAGTAAGATCTTGGATGGCGAAATAACGCCTTTGACATTGGCCGATCGGATAAGTTTTCGCGTAAAGTAAATATAAGCCCGTCCCGACAGCCGTACCGTTCGTTCCCTTAAATCCTATGCCCGGACAGCAAACTCAAAATGGCAGACGACAGCAAAGACATCCAGCCTAAAATCGTCCAAGGCACTTATGGCCAGGCCTCTGACTCAGATGAGCCAGCCGTGGCTGTACTACAAGAAACACCAAAGAGGAGCTGGAAGTCATACATCTGGGACACGTTCGACAAGTCACCCGAGGAGCGCAGATTTCTCTTCAAGCTCGATGCGGCTCTTATGACGCTGGCTTCATTAGGGTACTTTATCAAGTATCTTGATCAGGTATGTGAATCGATACCTAAGTGTTTAGTATCGCTAATAAGATAGGTCAACATCAACAATGCATTCGTGTCCGGAATGAAGGAGGACATGGGGCTGTTTGGGAACGAATTGAATTATATGCAGACGTGCTGGACTATTGGTTATGTCATTGGGGAGATTCCAAGGTAAGACTATTATCACTCACTGTCAATACGACTTCCTCTAAAAGGTCCAGCAACATGCTACTCACACGAATCCGACCGAGTATCTGGATTCCCGCTTGCGAAGTAAGTTCCTTTTCTGTCATTCGTTGCTCTTGAAGCTAACTCAAAGAGGTTACCTGGTCTATTCTCACCATCCTCCTCACAAAATGTACCAACTCGACCCAACTATACGTCCTCCGTTTTTTCATCGGTCTTGCCGAAAGCACCTTCTATCCAGGCATGCAGTACATCATCGGCTCATGGTACCGCAAAGACGAACTCGCCAAACGATCTTGCCTCTTTCATGCCATGGGAAACGTGGGATCTATGGTCTCAGGCTACTTGATGGCCGGCTCACATAACCTCGACGGCGTGCACGGATATCACGGTTGGCAGTGGCTTTTTATCACCAATACCGTTGTATCTCTACCCATCGCCATCTCTGGGTTCTTCTTCCTGCCTGATTTACCTGAGATAACCAAAGTCTGGTATTTTACCCCAGAAGATATCGCAATCGCGAAACGGCGTATGGAACTAGAGGGTAGAGCCAAGAGGGCTCCCTATACTAAGGCCAAGTTCAAGAAGATCTTTAGCAGCTGGCATATCTATGCTCTGGTGCTGTTGTATATTCTGTTTAACAACGGCAACGGCGGCAGCTCACAGCCTGCGTTCCCCCTATGGCTGAAGTCACAAGGGTATTCAATTAGGGACGTCAATCTCTACCCGACAATCGTTGACGTTATCAGCGTAATCACAACGCTCATCTACGCATGGACATCAGACAGTTTATTCCGCGGTGCTCGCTGGCCAGCCATCGTCTTCTCCGGTCTGGTGAAGATCATAGCCTACGTCGGTCTGACAGTATGGAAGGTTCCAACCGCTTTCACCTGGGTATGCTTCATGCTATGCGGTTTTGGTGGTGGCATCAGTGGCTTGACGTTTGCTTGGGCGCATGAGATTTGCAGTGATGACAATGAGGAGAGAGCCCTTGTGACGGGTGCGATGAACCAGATGGCTTATGTATTTCAGGCTTGGTTGCCTCTGGTGATCTGGCAGCAGGTGGAGGCACCAAGCTATCCTAAAGGTTATCCTACCATGGTTGCCTTGGCAGTTGGCTTGATTGGGACTTCATTTTTGATCAGGATACTGCACAAACGGCAAATTAAAGGACATCGGCATGCATTCGTGGATGCTTGAAATGATCCATGCGTTTAAGCAAATTATCTACCTAGTCAGCACATGAAAATTGATAAACTTGCCTACCATGATTGTAAATTCCAATGCTCGTCGCTATTACTGGCTCGACTGTTACTGTTTTGTTCCCTTTCGAAGCAGATTTGGCCTGAAATACACAACACTGGTCGACCTAAACACTTTTTGTACGAATTGTCTATGTTATCGATAAGCTTTACTTCTGCGCCTTTCGGGAGACCAGTCGCTAGCGATGCCTTGGCTTTCTGCAGCCGATGGCGGAACAGGGATTTGGCTAGTTGCCAACAAGACGATTTCCAATTGAATGCCTGATATTTTGGCTTTATCCAGCTTCTTGATTTGTAAGCATGATAACTAGTATATCTTCTGGCTACAACGACCTGCAATATATAGAAGTTGTTGCATAATTCTGAGTATGGTTCAAATACCATAGTCACTATCATCATTACTCCTTCCAACTGCCACACTTGTTTTCACGAAGACCTCCCGTCAACAATAACCGACCACAAGTCTATCGACACTATCAAGACCCATTCAGATATCGCAACGACAACACGACTAGCCGACATTACAGCCTTGGAATAAGAAATGAAGGACAAGAAAATTGTCATCACTGGCGCAGGACGCGGTCTCGGCCGTGCACTAGCAATCGTGGCCGCCGACCGAGGAGCAATTCCATTGCTACTGGGTCGGTCTCTACAGGCTTTGGAGCAAGTCCGCGACATAATTCAAAGCCGAAGTGGTGTTTCAGCACCAACAATTATCTGTGACCTCTCGGATACTTCTTCTGTCATCAACGCAGCGGAAAAGATCGCCTCGTCCCATCCTGACATCGACATACTAGTCAACAACGCTGCGCATTTCACAGACGGTGCCTTTCAAAACCAAACGTATTCGCAGATCGTTTCTGTGATCAATTCAGCGGTCACTGGTACTATGCTCCTCACCAAAGACCTGCTGCCACTTTTGTTGCAGAGACCGCACGCGGACATTCATAACGTTGTTTCCATGTCTGGTCTACCTTATGCAAGACTGACAGGCGCCTCACTGCCCTTCAGAGCGGCCAAGGCGGCCCAGGATGGCTTTACACAGGGCTTGGTGGAAGAACTACATGGCAGCTCTGTACGAATTACTTCGGTTTATCCAGGTTTGATTGAGGATGTATCGCCGATGGATGAGGCATGGGTCAAGCATCGTGGTCTTAACGAAGGAATCACAAACAAAGACGTGGTGGATACGATCCTGTACGCACTTGGCGCTCCCCCGAATGTATCATTGCGCTCTATTATTATTGAGCGGACTCATTCAGATTTCTTAAATTAGGAAATTGAAGGGTCTCTCCGCAACACGGGATATTAGGTTTGAGACCAGGTTATGTGCCAAACCCGTAATAGATGTGGCTTTAGTCGGTTCGATGTTAAAATTGGGTGGAAAATGATTTCTTCTGAAACCCTGGTGCTGAAATCCATGACAATCTCTAAAAAGGTGCAGTGCATGCTTGTGTAACCTACATATGGACCTGGTATATCAGTTGAGATTGAATCGTAAAATAAAATACAAAGCGTACGCGTCAACGAATAATAGCTGGATACCAATATCACTTCACTGGAACTCTCTTACCTCCTCACATTGCCCTTCCTGCATAATATCAGCCGCTTTTCAGCTGCGGTTTACCCCGCCGATCACGCCAATCATTACGCGTCTTGAAGTTGTTGCCAGCAACTACTGCATTCCAACCAAGTTGACATTTGGCTGTCAGCTTTTAGTCGTCTGTGCGTGCAGGGAGAATACATCACTTGTCTTAGTTGACACAGAGCTGGAAACCTTAGCTAGACAATGTGTTTCTGTGCCTCGAGACCTATTTATACCTGCTTGCCCCCTTGGAAATTCTATATCCATCTGAACCTGTCAATTCATTGAAAGTTATACCCTGAAACACACCAATCCGGGGAAAATGGCCTTGTCAAAAGTAGTCAACGGCAGAGTTGTGACCAACACAGACGTAAGTCAAACTCCACAGTAAGGTTCAAGCAACGCCTAAATACAAATAGGTCAAACCTCCCATCGGCTGGACGGTGAACTATGAAGATTTCGGCAGCGAAACTGAATGGGGAGAAGTCAGGCCGCTGTTCAGAACCCTATACAGCAGCAACGAGGTTATTTTCATTATTGAAATTAACGAACAGTACTATGTTTATAATGGCGGGAATGGCTGGGTACAACGCATTATTACCCCGACTGATTTGAAGGGAATTGTTGGCTTTATCAATGAGCAGGGGTGGTTTCGTCTCGAGACAGAGAACCTTGATGCTTGAATAGACGATTTGAATTCTCATCTTCAACAATGAAGCCCGTTCTTTGATTCTTAATAAATTCATTGATTCCTTCCTCTAGACGTTCTCTCAGTGGTGTCGCAGAGTACCTGTACCCGTATTTCAATTGCTTAGTAACAGATAGCGGGCGAATGGTTTAGTGGTATAATACTCCCTTAGCATGTTCGCTCCTCTGAGCTTCATCATTGGGAGTGGTCCAGGGTTCGATTCCCTGTTCGTCCAACGCAGCTGGTTAGATTCCGGCAATACCTCTTTTTTTTTTTTAATTTGTACCAGACTTTAAAGATGTTTATTAACAGCGTTCGTTATGCGTAATATGTAAGTGTTATAATACTATGAAGCATAGCTATTTATTATATACAGTAAAGACTGTTAAACTGTAGCGTGCATAACAATGCTCAAGCGAGCACTTTGCATTCCAAGAGAAGGCCAGAATTAACCATAACAGATGAACATCCTAGAGTACTCGACCAGTCATCGTGCTAGTAGGAATGACCTAGAAGGTCTCCGCTTAGGGCTTGGTGACCTGGGCAGCAGTGGCAGGGCAGTCGAGGCAGCGAGCATCGTACCAGGCAAAGCCCTTGCCGGCATCAGCGGGGTTGATGGTAGTGCCGGTGTGCTTGAAGAAGTAGCAGATACCGTTGGGCTCATCGTAAGCCACAGCCTTGCAGTCAGGCTTGGTAGTGCCGCAAGCAGCAACACAGTTCTTGCGGTCAAGAGCACCGTTGTGGACGCTATCGTAGCTGGGAGCATCCTTGTTGTTACGCCAGCCCTGACGACCGCAGATGGCGCCGTCCTTGGAGTTAGCGAAGCCACAGCCAGCGTCGTAGAACTTGTAGCCGGTGGGCTTCTGCTGGACAGCAGTGGTCTTGATGTCGAACTTGGAGAAGTAGCAGATGCCGTTGACATCGTCGTAGGTGATGGACTTGCAGTCGGGCTTGGTGGTACCACAGGCCTTGATGCAGCCGTCAAGGGTCAGCTTGCCCTTGTGGATGCTGTCGTAGGACTTGGCCTCGCTGTTGGTCCGGTAGCCGACAAGGCCGCAGAGGGAGCCGGAGGGTATGTTGACCAGGTTGCACTCCTCAAGGCTGCGGCAGGGCAGCTTGTTGTTGGGGGCAGCGGCAACAGAGACGACTGACAGAGCAGCAGTGACGAGGGTGGAGTAATGCATCTTGAAGATTGGTGTTGGAAAGGGAGAGATACAAAAGTATTCTGTTGCTTTGAAGTGGCTTTGAGTTGCTTGGTGAGGAGATGAGGTTGAGTGGTGAAGATATGATTAAAGCGACGATCCTTTCTCTTTCTTATAGGGCTCAGGAGAGGCTGGACACCGAGCCCTGTTGGCCTTCATCGAGAGTCTAGATCTCCCGGACTGTCGGTCTGACACGATGTCTTAACGCCGACTTGCGAAAAAGGAATCGTCCACGATGTTTGTTAACAGCTGAAAGACTATGTCCTGAACTATTGAACAGATTATCGAAACTTGGCAAGCTGATGCAGCAGCTGAGAGGAATAAGGGTCTTGTTCTCTACGGACAAAGTCGTCCGTGTAGGCCTCAACTCCAAGTCCAGTCTCGTCGCCAAACCCGGATCGCTGTACCCGCATAGCCATTACCGTACTGCCGGAAACCAGGGGTCAGGGACGCCCCGGCAAATCCAATTGGTTAGATAAGTTAAGGTTGTTGCTGACAATTAAACTATTGAAGCCACGAGACGCTGGCTGTTGAGTCCTAAGCAGCAATTGATTGCTAGGGTTTATTTCCGCGAAGGTGGTTGTGCGGAATTTGGGATGGGCTGGCGGATTACTGGATATGGAAAAGCGGTTGGACATCAGGGTCAGGGATTGGAGGGTGAACGATCTGATGGTAAGGCAAAGGATCGTGGCGTTACGAGTGTCTAAAAAAGAGTTTAGCTTAGTGGAGGCTCCTGTTGAAGACGTCGCATGTAAAGTAAGCGAGGGAACCCCTGCCCCTTCTCCATCTTACGTTGAGAAGCTACCCGGGAGAAAGACAATTATTGCTTGCAACTCACAAGTATGTACGTATCTGGTTGAGATAATAGATTCGTTGACAAGAAATGCAAAGGGATTTTAGAGAGAATTGATCTATATCGATTATGCCAATTCATTGTGTTTGATGTTCGTTAAACTCCCAGATGATATTCGTGTAGGATACAGTGATCAATTGAACACCTTAGCCCACCATGTAGGAACAACCACATTCGACCAAACAACCACCAAGAAAAAAGAAAGAAGAAAAAAAAACCAAGTCACTAATACTCATACGAGTTACGAGACTAAAATCGAACTAGAGTCGCGGTGCTTTTAGTCGAGTTGAGACTCGAAATTGAGCCAGCACCTGAGAGGATATCAACGCGTCTCCTTGACGCGAGTGGCAAATGAGGACTCGATGTTCACCCAGGTCCGTACGTAGCCATGCAGCTGAGCAACACGATTTTGTCCGGGGCTATCCAGCTCACAAGTGAGCGAGCCTTTCCTACACCTGCGCTTATTCCCGTGATGCTATCTCCAAGTTTGAACCCCTTCTCTGCACTTTTCAATACTTGCTCTCGTCCGATCTTACTTGACTTTTGGGATCGTTATAAAGCTTGTTAAAGAACTGGAATGCTGTTCCTGTCGATCCGATCTCGGAATAAGCTTCTGAAGCCATTTCCAGTCCTTATCTTAGCCACTCCCCGTTAACTGGCGATATCCACTTCAAGCCACAATGGATATCGCGGAATTCGACCGATCTGATCGCGCTAATCAAGCCCCTGTGATCTAGGTCGGACGACACGAAAGCTCCATATCGACACACCTTTTCCGAGTCATGCAATGTGGAAGCCGTTGATTTGCGACCTGTACGCCGAAAAGCAATAAGGCTGAACGAAGGATCATGAACCTGGCTGTGTTTGTTGAGAGTGTCAGTACGGCAGAGCCAGTGCTTTTCCTTTCCGCCGAGCACGCGTCTTTATGGTCATCGCCATTTGCGTGCGATCACAGGAACGAGTCGGTCAATTTGCTCCGGCATCGTGTGTTGTTCACATCCCTCGCAAACATCATCCTCACAATAAAACGTGGCTGATTGAACGGAGCTGATAACTCATATCAAGAGATTGGGTTAATCTAAACTGGCTCAGCAATGAAATTTCTTATCCTTGAGGAAGCTCTCATTTTTCTGTACCAGTGACTTGGAAGAATTGATGCCGGCGGCAACAGACCATCCTTAATAAGCGGAACAGAGAGATGTTTAAGGCATAGCGATCCCTGTCTAGTCAAGTCTTCTACGCTGAAAAGTAACGTGTAAGGGTTGATAAGATAACCGATAAGCGTAGCAGACTCCTTTTCGTTGCGGGTACCAGCGGTATGTTCGGCTCCTGCTACGGCTGCACCGAGCAATCAGTGTAGCGAGCGCTGCATCTCTTCACAGCGCATCGCATTGATGACTCCATAGTATCCCCCAATCGGGCTGGTATAAGTGAAGGAATGCGGGAGGCGATCCTGCTTAATTGGACCTGAGCGTCAACTTGGACTTATCCTCGTCGGCTGAACTCTAGTAAATTGCTTCTTCCCACTAACCCACAGCATGACTGGTCGATACAGGAGAATTTGGACTTGGCCTGTATGCCAAGATGCTAATTCTAAATACGGTTTGTCGTAATCCACGGCGTCGGATCCGGATCCAGCGGAATTGTAACCTCACCGTTGCAGACTATTGACACAAGCGCCCGTTTAGCGCCATACCCGATTTAAAGTCAGGAGATCCGGTTAGTGACATCCCAATGGGAAACGTTTATTTCCCATGATATCCATCAGGGGGATCAAGCGCTAAGACATCCTGGAACCAATAGTTTGCAGTTAGCTTCTGTCGTGTTAGCGGACTGTCGCCCTCGTGTATACAGGGGAACTCGTGGTGGTGAGAGTATCTTGATAGGAAGAATAAAGTGTAGTAGAGGTTGTCCCAACTGCGTGGCTTTCTGGTCTCTGCACACCGACCTTCTTTCACTCGTTCAAGATGGTTTCTGCAAGGCTCTTTGTCGTGGCTTTCGCGCTTCGCTCTGCTGTCGCTTCGCCATGCAAACCTCGTCCCATTTCGACGACCTCAGCTCTTGAGTCGTCTGCCACTGCCACTTCTGGTTCCACCTATTTGACCTTTGAGAGTTCCACTGGTGTCTCATCCACCTCCAGCGAGACTTCTGTTGAGACATCTGGCACTGCAACCTCTGACGTGTCTTTGACTACTGCACCAACTGGCACTGCAAGTAAGACCGAGACCTTGTCCACAGATGCCTCTGGTAGTACTAGCGCAGAGTCTCTGCGGAGTGAGACCGCTACGACAGATGTCTCTACCGCTGTCGAGATCTCTACTGGGACCCCGACAACTGTGGGCGAGTCTGCTCCAGACACAACCAATACAGTCCTGTCCACCACTAAGGCCGTGACAGATGGTACTGAGTCTACTTCAGTCACAGTCTTCACAACCACTTCTACCTCTGAGACCTTTACCGAGACCTCTGCTGAAGCTCATGACACCACTTCCACTGGCTCTGGCACCAACATAGACACGACAACCGCAGTTGAGTCCGCTAGGGATACCTCCATTGAAGTCTCGACAACCACAGGTACGGAACCTAGCTTGGTCACCACTACCGTAGCCGACTCCACCACCGAAACCTCTGCTGTGGACTCTACTACTGCCACTACTGGGTCCCCCTCGGACACAACCACCACGACTGAAGCGGTCACTTCGACTGAGACCTCTACCGAGACCTCTACTGAGCCTCAATCTACCACTGCCACAGAGTCTGTGTCAGACACAACCACAACGGCCAACTCTAGCATCGAGTCTACCGAACCTACCTCAGATACCGCCACAACAGTTCAGTCTACCATCGCGACTTCCTCGGAGAGCTCTACCCCGACAGCAGAGTCTACAACTCAGACCTCTGCTGCGGTCTCTACTACCCCTACCACCGTCGCCTTATCAGACACGACTACTACCACCGGACCGGCAACCTCTATTGAAACTTCTACTGAGCTACAGACTATCGCAACCACTGAGCCCACCTCCGATACCACAACGGCCCAGTCAACCACTGCTGTCTCGACCGAGGCCTCGACCACGACAACTACTGAGTTCAGCTCGGGCACCACTACTACGGCCGAGGTCACTACCGAGACGTCTACCACCGAGGTCTCGACTACTACCTCTACTGAGTATACGTCAG